GAAGGTTTTAATAATATAAATATAGAGGTAGTAATTCATACCACCCACCAATTTCAAAGACCAGATGAACACCTAAAAGGGTTTTAGGTCTTTGTAAGAGTTATAAGAACATAACGATTTATTAGCATTCCAAGTGGTTTTTTTTTTTTTTTTTTCTCTCTCTCATGTCTTGACAACTCTTATCATAACATCCTTAGCTGGTGATTCAATAGAAGTAGTAAGCAGATCTTAGCTTTAAAATTACACAGCTCCCTTATTGTAAGCTGCAGACTCTTTGTTGCAATAGTATTTTGTTTATTCAGCAAACATGCATTGTGCTTGTTATACGCTAGACATTGTTTGAAATGTCAGCTGTGCTGACAGCCCAGAGCCTGGAACCTGCTTCAGATCCTGTGTCTCCCTCTCTCTCTCTCTCCCTTCCCCACTCACACTCTGTCTCTCAAAAACGCATAATAAACATTAAAAAAAAGAAGAAGGAGAAACTGAGTACTCAAAAAATGAGGAGGCATAGTCTCCTCCAAATGCCAGAGCAGAAAAACGCTGATAGCACAGGAATGTCTAGAAAACCACACCCCACAAATCCCCTTCCTTGCCCATGATCTTGGGCTGAATATCTACGGGGCCTCCATGTAGGATCATGCACTCTCTGCTTGCTCTCCTCCACGTACCCTGGATCTCTCCCTAAAAGACTCTAGATGTCCCATCTTGCAGGCAGAGAGGTTGGTTGTTAAGGCTCGAGCTTGCCACCTTCCCCAGCTGCCGGCACCCGAGATAAATTTCTTTTTCTTTTCCAAACCCTCATCTCTTGAGTTATTTATCGGTTTCCCTTGCAACGAGTTCATACAAGTTTACAACCCAACCAGGAGCTACGCTTCCAATTTGCCCAGCCCCCTCGGGATTCCCAGGGGTGAAGCAGGTGGCTTCAGCGGCACCGCTGGGCTCACTGGTCCATTTCCTGAGTTAGGGGCTGTGATCGGTCCATCCACGGGCGACACTAGCTCTGTCCACTAAGAGGGCCTAGACACAATATGCTAGTAGCAATAAGCACTTGTAGCGCCAAGGTCTTGGTTTCTAAATATCATTTTCCATTAAAAGAAGCCAGAACTTCTTGGGAAAATGACTGGTCGCAGGGTTACAGCCTGGAGCCCAAAATACACCTGGAGCATCTTCTCATTCTGGAAAGTAAGGAAGTGTTTAAGCAATGAGAGGATCTGTAAAAGAAACATGGAAGCCAACTCAGAGGGGCTCCTGTTGGCCAAATATGTGATTTTAACACCAAAATAAATACTAGCCATAATGAATCATAACCCACTGAATAAAATGATATCCACGAGTCAATACTGATGTAAATAAGTAAATAAATGAATGAATAATTGAAAGAGATGAGAACTCACCTCCTTAAAGCACGATGTCAATAAAGATAGAATGGATTTAAAAATCAACAATGGGGGCGCCTGGGGGGGCTCAGTCAGTTAGGCGTCTGACTTCATCTCAGGTCATGATCTCATGGTTTGTGGGTTCAAGCCCCACGTAGGCTCTGTGCTGACAGCTCAGACTCTGTGTCTCCCTTTCTCTCTGCTCCTTCCCCGCTCACGCTCTGTCTCTCTCTCTCTTTCTCAAAAATGATAAACGTATAAGTGAAAAAAATTATGAGGAATACTATATTTGCACACCCTCCAAATATCTTTCCATAAATAATTTATTAATTACAAAGAGGAAAAATAGTAGCTTTACAGTACAGAAACCTGGGAAACACCCCCTTAACCAAGTGATGAGGTTAATATTACCAATATTAGTTCAAACTATCATCAGGTGCCTTCTGGCACGGCACTCTGAGAATGACACGGGCCACTTCTGCGACATCCCTGCCAAAGCCTCATGAGAATCTGTAACCAATCATGAGACAAACCTCTTTGAAAGACACTCCACACAAAAACTGGCCTTTATTCTTCAAATATGTCAAAGTTAAGAAAGGCTGAGTAACTCTTCCAGATTAAAGGAAACTGAAGTGGTCTGAGAACTAAGGGCATGATTAGATCCTGGACCAAACTATAAACCACTAAAAAGAGGATTATTAGAATATTGGAAAAAAATTTAGATATAGATTACAGTTGACATATGTTCTTAATGCTCTTGATTTTGATAAATATACGATCGTTTATGAGGAAAAGTGCTCACAAAAACAATCATCAAAATATTTAGGGTAAAAGATGCAATGACTCTAAATAATTCATAAGATATATAAATATGGATATAGATAGCTACAGATATTATAAACAGAGAGAGGCAGAGAGACAGAACTATAAAGCAAATGGGGCAAATATAAGCAACTTATGAATCTGAGCAAAGATTATATGGGAGTTTCTCTTGTCATTTTTCCAACTTTTATCTAAATTTTAAATTATAGCAAGATAAAAAATTATGGTAAGTTTCATTGGTCCTTAAGGTGTAAAAACTTGGAAAAACACACCACTCCCACCATAATAACAAGAAAATGCCAGATAGTCTGTAAAATGATAACTCTTTTTGACCCCATCAGAGAAGCAAGGTTGCAGTACAGTCAAGAAGTCTGACATTTAAAGAAAGACAGGTTCTTCTAGGAAGGCAGGCACTGTCCCACCTGGGGCAAAGCATGAGGGGAAGAGAACTTAGATGGCATATAAGGTGAAGAACCAAGAAGGCAGACAAAATATTTGTAGAGCTAACAAAAGGAATAAAAGACCTTAATATGCATATCCAAAATGTACAGGGAAGACCATGCAGCATAAATGTGAGAAAAAAGAATCCATCCACACACATAATATCCAAGCTCCTGGGAACCAAAGATAAAGAGAAAATCTTGAAGGTGGTCCAAATAAAATTCCAGCAGATTTCTCATTAGAATCTATACAACCCAGAAGGCAATGAAGTGACCTCTTTAAAGCACTGGAAGAAAACTAACCTTATCAACCCAGAATTCCATACCTTTCAAAAATGAAGTCAAATATTGTTTTGACCAAACCAAAGGGTAGAGACTTCATTACCAGCACACCTATGTTAAAAGAAAGTTTTCAGAAATACTTTAGCAGAAAGACTATTATCCTGGAAACAGATTCTGACCGGAAATACACCAACAGCTTTCCTGGGCATCCAGCTCGCAGACAGCAGATTATGGGACTTCTCAGCATCCATAACCAAGTGACCCAATTCCTCATAATAAATCCTCCTTCTCTCTCTCTCTCTCTCCAGATCTCCCGTGACTTACAAAGGGGTCATGCCCCAATAAACCCATCACAAATTGAAAGTGTCATAAATTGAAAATGTATTTCATGCCCCCAGCCTCCCAAACATCACAGCTCAGCCTAGTCTACCTTAACCATGCTCAGAACACTTATACTATTAGCCTACAGTTGGGCAAAATCACGTAACACAAAGTCTATTGGATAAGAAAGTGTTGATGGTCTCATATCATTCATTGAATACTGTACTGCAAGTGAAAAATAGCGTGGCTGTATGGGTACAGAATGGCTGTCAGCGTACTGGTGGCTTACCCTCCTGATCCAGCAGCTCTCTCTGCCCAGTGTCATGGAACAGGATCATACTGCATGCTGCTAACCCAGGAAGAGCAAAATTCAAAATTATAAGTATGGTTTCTACTGAATGCATATCACTTTCACACTACCATAAAGTTGTAAAATAATAAGTCAAACCATTGTAAGTAGGGGACTGTCTGTATGTGTGTGTGTGTGTGTGTGTGTGTGTAAATATATATATATATATCTGTATATGTGTATATATGTACACATATTATATATATACATCAGATATAGATGATACAGATATAAATATTCTAATGGTTTTGTTTCCCTGGGGCAAATATAGAAGGTAAATATAAAGAACATTTTTATTTTTTTATTTTTATTTTTTAATATGAAATTTATTGTCAAATTGGTTTCTGTACAACACCCAGTGCTCATCCCAGCAGGTGCCCTCCTCAATGCCCATCACCCACCCTCCTCACCTTCCCACCCCCCATCAACTCTCAGTTTATTCTCAGTTTTTAAGAGTCTCTCATGGTTTGGCTCTCTCCCTCTCTAATTTTTTTCCCCTCCCCCTCCCCCATGGTCTTCTGTTAAGTTTCTCGGGATCCACATAAGAGTGAAATCATATGGTATCTGTCTTTCTCTGTGTGACTTATTTCGCTTAGCATAACACTCTCCAGTTCCATCCACGTTGCTACAAAAGGCCAGATTTCATTCTTTCTCATTGCCAAGTAGTATTCTATTGTGTATATAAACCACAACTTCTTTATCCATTCATCTGTTGATGGACATTTAGGCTCTTTCCATAATTTGGCTATTGTTGAAAGTGCTGCTATAAACATTGGGGTACAAGTGCCCCTATGCATCAGCACTCCTGTATCCCTTGGGTAAATTCCTAGCAGTGCTATTGCTGGGTCATAGGGTAGATCTATTTTTAATTTTTTGAGGAACCTCCACACTGTTTTCTAGAGTGGCTGCACTAGTTTGCATTCCCACCAACAGTGCAAGAGGGTTCCCGTTTCTCCAGCATCTATGGTCTCCTGATTTGTTAAAGAACATTTTTAAATTGATAATTGCTCTAAAAGATAATTAAATGACTAAAGCAAAAATAGTAATCATGTGTGTGTTTATAGAATGTTTAAATTAAAACTTATAAAAACAATAGCACGAAGAATGGGGAAAGGGACTCAGGAGTATATAGCTGTAAGTTGTGAGATCCTTAAGCTACTCATGAAATGCTATAGCATTTGAAGGTAGAATGTGAATATTAAAGATGTATAGGAATTATCCTGGCGCCTGGCTGGCTCAGTCAGAAGGGCATATGATTCTGAATCTCGGGGTTGTGAGTTTGATCCCCATGTGGGGGTGTAGAGATTGTATTTTAAAAAGATATATACATATTATCAAACCTAGGGCAATCATTAGAAAGCTATAAAGAGACAAAAACAAAAAACAAGCAATGGTGGAGATAAAATGGAATCATAAAGACACTATTGATGCGAAAACAGTAACTGCCTCTTTCAATGGAACACAGCCTAAATGACGCGGGATGACTTCGGAGCCAGGTCAGAGAAAGCATTGCAGCTTCCTCCTGGCTCTCCTCTCTTTTCCACTTGGAAGCCCTGAGCCAACAGGAAAGCAGTCTGGTCATGCTGGGGAATACCAGGGAGGGGAGACAGGGAAAGGTGCCGGAAGTTGCTACCGCGACTCTCCCAGTATTACCAGCCCAGCCACCAGACATGTAATCCAAGGAGGCTTTGCGACGCCCCAGCCGCAGTCTGACTGCAACCTGGTAAGAAACCACCCCACTGAGCTGTTCCTGAATTCTGGCTCACAGGAAACCGTGGGAGCTAACAAAGGGTTAGTGTTTCAAGCCACAGCAACCGGCAACCAACGCAACAATACACAGTCCTTATCACAACGCCTGGCTCGGGGGAAGGGCATACTTGATCGCCTTTTCCTTAATATTTTGTAGTTTCAGTATTTTTAATGGGTAATTAGCCACTGGCGTTTAATGCGTAGTTTTACTGTTTCTGCGCACTAGAGGGCGCTCCATCTCGATCGAGGGCCAGATACATGCAGGTGCAGTTTTCCAGCCAAGGCACCAGGCGGAGCCAGCCCCTAATTTTTCACTGTCATTGCAGAAGGTGAACTTGGCAGAAGGGGAAAAAAGGCCTCAGAACCCGTGCACTGGCATAATTAGGAAGCTGTGTGACAGAACACTCTGCAAACACATCCTAAAAAACAAGGAAGCTTATTTTGCCAAATAAGATGTGCTAAATGGGTGTGCAGACAAAAGACAAGGAAATTCCACCTCCCCCCAGTCACCACCTTTGTTTCCACTTTAAATGTAACAGAGCAGGTTATCGTCTCTTTGATCCCCGAAAAAGCGAAGGGATCTGCAAGTCTCCAATTTCTCAACAACGCTGTACCTAATCTCTGCCATATCTAGAAACAGAAAAGCAGGCTCTCCACTGCAGTTAACTTCCAATACTGTTTCACGGTGTCTCAAATAACATTTGTACCACCTCTGTAACTTAGCATTTTTGAAGTTTCCCCTTTTGAGAGTTCTTCATTTTGTATACACAGGATTTGATAGTCTAGTGACTGTGAAATGGGCCGTGATTATGATTGCAAGGAATTGGGGACTAAATCCCTTAAAACGAATTGTCTGAGCCAAATACATTTTAAGTCTTCCCCTTTTCCCACATTCAAAGCATACTTTACCTGTAATCATTCCTCGTAACCTGAGAGGGTTGGCAGCCTGCACTTTCGATGACAGTCTGCCAGTCTCTGTGTCACTCCTGAAGGCCGCCCCTACCCTGAGGTGACTCGAATACAGCAGGGCTCGAACGGAGCAGTGGTCTTGAGAATAAAGAAGGTTTTGTGATCAGCTTATCGGATTCGAGCGTTACACCACGGGGTCAGGACTCTGCAGCCTGGTAGAGTATAAATCAGAGGGGGGCTGGGCTGGGGGACAATGGAGTTCTGAAGAGCTGATTCTTTGAGAGTCTCCTGTGACCCTGACTCCAGCTGACCCTCCATCATGCTGATCAATCACAAGGACAACTGAAGGCGAATGGGATATGTGACCAACACATACCCTATTTCGTGCTGGGGACGAAAAGAAAACCAAGCCAGACTCTACGTGCAGCAGTCAGGAGAATGGCGTTCCTACCCTTGATATGCCTATAAATGACGAGACTGATTTTCAGGTATCACTCATGGCAATGTTGCACTATTTTGTGCTCACGGGTTGTGTATGGGACATGCTTTTCTTTAACACACTGGCAATAGCAAGCGCTGTCCTCTTTGACTTGACCACAAATTGGAGATTACAGAGCCTCAGAGCAGCTCCAATCCCTCCAGGCGAGCTCTGGAAATTCCCAGGGAGTTTCATGCACACGCTCCTCAGAAACCCTCTCGGCTCTCCAAGGCCACATTGTAGATCTGAATTGTGGCGGTGACACGCCCATGGCACTCTAGAGGCTGCTTGGCCGGGTGCCCAGGTCACTGATGCTGGCAGCAAAGATTCCGGTGGCCGCTGAAATGCCCCTTAGCACGCCCCAGCCATGAATGCCACTTCATTCCATGCCCTCTGTAGCTGCCGGCACAGTGAACGGACTAGGCCGAGTTAAGGTAAATATCCTGTGTCCCCATGGCTGTTACCTCTCCATGCCTAGGCCACTTCCTAGGGCTCATCTTCAAGGGCTCTTTTTCAATTCTCTGAGGGGCTGCTCGGCCGTCCAGAGGCCTGAGCAGCCACTCATGCCCCCCCCCCCCCCCCCCAAAAATGATGAAAGGCCCGGATCTATATGCCTCCATCTGGGTGACTTCCTTCTCATAAACCATTTGCCCCTCCAGCCCGCCCTGTTGATATGCCCCGATCCGCTGAACTCTCCGATGGGAAGAGTACTTTGGCACCTCGTCTTTACATCTTTCATTTTTTTTTTTTTTTTGCAGTAGTTTAATCTGGAAGGGATCGTGGCAGGGTTCAGAATCTTTAAGTTTTCCTAGGAGCCTGTTTCCAAGGGATGGAGTCGCTGGATGCAGCTTTCTAGTATGATGGAGGCAGCTTCCTGAGATTTGGAAGGGCCGGGCAAAGCAGAAAGCCAGCTACGAGACCAGTACATTCAGGTGTAAGAAACTAGCATATTTCACAGCCTTCGCGCTCCACCCACAAATGCTAAGGGCAGGCTGACCTCATCTCTGCCCGCACATCTTGACTTGCCCTGGGTTCCAGGAGCTGTGCCCTTTTCCTGTAATTTTACAGCAAGGGGTCTTGCAACATTCTCCCATCAGACATGGAGTTTTTGGACAGCAGGTGCTAATGAACTGGCTCCAGCCCTGACCACCTGGAGGGAGATAGTTTCTCCAAGGGCCTGGCCATCCTCCTTTCCTCGCCGGACCCCTGTCCTCGCATTCTTTTCCTTTTCCCTTTACAACCCTGACCAAATTCTGCCTCACTGTGGTTTGGTAAGGCTGGGCACATGTCTACCACTTTTCCTTAGACCTACTCAAAGAAGCCTTTCAAATTCTAATGTTGTGAGAAGATTGGCTCCGGTAGGGGAGGATTCGTTTGGTATTTCCCCCCTCCTGCTTCAGAGTTCAAGTAGGGACAGCAGCAGAGGGAGGGAGAGCTCACCGTGGTGGCACGCCTAGAAGGGTCTGCTGTCTGGGCTTATAATCACGAGGAGGTGCTGGGGGAGGTTTGCTAGACCACGTGCGCGATGCTGACCAAGAAATAAGGAACTCTATCGTCAACACAGAAATCCAAACGATCTTATTTGCAACGAGGAAACCCTTTCTGTTTCATGTGCTGTCCCCACAGGGACCATCTCCGTGTCTTTCACCAATATGGTGATAAACGGATAGAACAGAGTGAAGCGGGTCCCCGCACCAGCACCCCTGAATCTCTCCGCTTCGCGGTGAAGGATGCATTTCAATCATCGCCATCCAGAGAGAAGGCTCCTTCCCTGCTGCCTATTCAGGACATCCAGAAGATATAATCCCACGCAGGAGTTCTGTGGGGTGGGACCACAAGGAGTATTTGGAGACGGTGTGGTCGAGTGTCTCTCAAATTATTCCGGGCCGACCATTTTCACATCTCTTATACCTTGTGCTGCCCTATTCCCAGTTTTATTTCACGATTTTTTTTCGGGAAAATTCTATGAGGCCCCAATCCTGTACCCATGCTGCCTTTCCTTCCCAAACCTGAGGCCCACTGATGTCCACCCCAACTCATGCTAGTGCTCAGACCAACCTGGAGTTGTGTAAGCGACTGTAAACCTGCAACCTACAAATCTAGTGCGTAAGTCAGGACTTGGTGAGTGAGCGACAACTCTGATTTCTGTTACATCCTTAAATGTCCTTATTGCAGATTTTGGCCTGGGATGGGGTAGCACAGAGCTCTCTTCTGAGATCCTGCATCCATAGTAATAGCAGCCCTCCCCAGGCATCTATTAATTTTTAAAATATTTATTTAATTTTGAGAGAGAGAGAGAGAGAGAGAGCAGGAGCAGGGGAAGGGCAGAGAGAGAGGGAGACACAACACAGAGAGTTGTCAGCACAGAGTCTGATGCGGGGCTTGAACCCGCGAACCGTATCATGACTTGAGCGGAAGTCAGACGCTTAGCCAACTGAACCACCCAGGCACCCAGCACCCCCAAGTATTTAGGATCTGGTTATACTTTTCATCCTCACACAAGCCTTGAGGTGGACGCTTTTACCGACTTCATTTTAAAGGTGAGGATTCTGAGGCCTGAGAGAGATTGAGTAACTTTCCCAGGTAACTGTCAAGCTGGGACAAGAAGACAAGCATTCTGGAAATTATAGCCCACAGGCTATGATTCTACCACGTGGCTTACACATGGAGTCACCATCTGGGCCTTTATTCAGCTTTGACATTGTGCTAGCTTCTACCTGGCCAGCTGTCTAGTCCCACCTCTCACCAGGCTCCTTTTGGGGGACCGAATTAGCTGTGACTGGGACCCAGTATGGCAGGCTCACCCTGCCTGGTCTTTTATACACTGTTCACTGGATTTTTTTGTTGTTGCAATTTTGCCCTCATCTTGGGGGACACCTAACTGCGTAAGGTGGGCCCCTGATATTATCACTTGAGATGCCCTTGGACACAGGAGAGAGCGGTCTCCTAGTGTTTCTGGTTCTCCTCCGGGAATCTCTGCTATCAGCTCCCCGGCTAGTCCCTCACCCCTGTTTTCTCTCATGTTTCTCAGAAATCACAGCTGCGCCTTGCGTTTCCAAAGATCTGGCCCTGGGCATCAGTTGCCCTGGAAGCCACGTTTCCATTAAAACGGAAAGAAGTGGACACAATTAATTAATTGCAGTGGACAGAACTGGTGGGAGTTAACCCTGCAATAAATAGAGAGGGAGACTGAAAGTTCATTTTTGCTCTTTAAATGTTTCACGTGCAGAAATGGGTGACGACAGCAGGAAGGTCAGGGCCGTATGCCAGGTTTGCTTGAGGGCATTACACTGGCTATTAACGGTGTGTTAAAGGGAGGCTCCGTGAGCACTGCTGCCCTAGAAGCTCCGAACGCCGCGTGGTTTCTTGTTGGTGAGGGTCAGGAGCAAAGTCATCTACGGGTGGGAGGGGGCCTGTGCTGGAGCCGCCCCACTGTGGGCTTAGCGCCGTGCAGGGGGTGGGACTGCCCTCAGCCGGGCACAGGGACGCCCCGTATGCCAGCAATGAGCGTGAGTACACGTGCGCATGCGCACACACACACACACACGCTTTCCTCCTAGATTCCCAACTTTTATGCTTCTCCTTTATCTCTCCTGACCAACACAGAGGATGGACCCTGCCCGGTCACTGATGCAATGAAGTCTAGTCCCTCTGACAGATGTGGCAAAGCATTATCAGGGTCAAAGGTAAGTGCTGCAGCTGTTCCACTGAGGATTCCTCTCTGGATACAACCTCCTTTACCCAGGGAAGCTTCTGAAGCAATCCCAGAGCTCCTTTATGGTTTACCTGAGCAAATTCCCACACTTTTACAATCTTTGGTTCATAAGTACCAATGTGAAAGCCAACAACAACAACAAAAAACCCAAGTATCAGTCGGTTCAGAGATTATCTGGGTTACCCGAACCATCAGATTCCAGTAAGAATTCTTCTCTAGTGTCCAATATCTTTGGGATAATGTGTGGAATTGTTCATTCACTGAACAATTATTTACTGATTGCCTACGTTAGGTGACTAAGGAAGGCACACGTAACTGACCCAGATGGCCTCAGCCCTCGAGGACTTACCTTCCAGTTTGCAGATGTAGCTGGTGCTCTGCCACAGGTCTCTGCCTGAGGGATTTTCTTTTCTGGTCAAGTGTGTTTGGCCTGTATGTAGGACAAGCTGGAAATGCCCAGGAATTATTTTCCCTGGAAACAGACCTCAAATAAAACATGGAAAATGCATTGGTGAATAAATTCCCCAACGTCTTTGACCTAGGGTGGGATAACTGTGTTTGACCATGTCCCCCAATGGGACTGAGCTCAGGTTGCCCACAGTAGGATCTGAATGGCTAATGTATCCTTTATTGACTTGCTTCTCCCCCTACTGGAGATTTCTGGCATCTCCTCTCAACTAAACTACTTACATCTGAATCCCTGTCTTAGAATCAGCTTCTGGGGGAAGCCCTACCAACTCAAGAACTAAAACATATGGGCAGATAGTTATAATTCTAGAAGAATTGGTGAAAGACGACAGTAGAGTGCCTCATTTAAGATCCCATGAGAGTTCGCAGGAAGAGATTGCTTTGGGTTGTCCCTAAATGGGGAGTAGGATTTGAGCATACAGTGATTGGGTGAAGGGAAGCTCAGTGGAGCTGGGTAAGCTGGACCATGAAGACAGGAAGTGAGCATATATGTTTGGTAACAGTTCAGTCTAATAAGGGAATTACATCAAGGAAAACAATAGCAGATGGGCTTGGAAAGGGTGGATTTAAGTGCCAAGCCAAGGCCAGAAGTGTTTAAATAGTGATCTAGGCCAGCCTGTCCAACAGAAGTATCTGCAATAATGGAAATGTTCCAAGTATGAGCTGGGCAGTATGGCGGCCACTAGGTGCGTGTGGCTATGGAGCACGAAATATGGCTAGTACAACCGAGGAACTCCATTTTTCATTTACTGTAAGTTGATTTCAATAGTCATTTATGGAGAATGGCTACCATGTCTCGTATTGCATTTCCAGGCAATAGAAAATGACATGAGCAAAAGAGTGCGTTGCTTGAAATAATCTGAAAGCTGACTATAAACTAGATTATAGGAGAAGTACTATAAAGATAGGCCAATTATGAGACAAAATCAATATGTGGGCCAGTGGTTTTTTTTTTTTTTAAGTTAAAGAGAAAATATTTCCTTCAGATATTAAAAAACACATTAAACAGATAAAAGTGGGACTGACTTTCTTAAAACTCAGGAGGCAGGAATGGACATCGTAAAGAGACATACCGCTTTCTTGCTTTCCTACCCACAGAAGCCCCTGAGGGTCTCCCTGGGATTTCCGAGAGCTGCTCAGGACTCTGTTTGCCAACCACTAAGTTAGCTCAATGGTGGCGGGGGCGGGGAGGTAGGGGCGGTGTTCTACCAGGGTGATAGAGATAGAGAGGAATAAATGTGGGAGATATTATCGAGGCGGAATCAACAGATCTTGGCATCTGAGTATGAGAAGTAAAGTTTGATTCTCTTCACATCTATTTTCCCACTCATCTAAATCCAATCCCTGGTGTTATCTGGAATTCTTCCCCATTACAGAGCCATCACAAATATAATAGGTACACAAAAATAAAGTTCTTGAACTGAATGGAATTAGCATACACAATGCTACATATATGTTAAGCAGTGGGGATAATCTGGATTCATATCCAGGTCCATTGGCTCCAAGATTTGCCCTACAGCTTGCTGTCCATCCCCCAGCGTAATAATGATCCCCCCTGAGTATATCCCCCCTGAATAATGCAGTCACAGAAGCCAAGGAAAGGGGCTTTGCTAGTGGAGGCGCTCAACGAATGGTTTTAAGTGTAGCAGCAGGTTTGAGAAGAAAATGATAAATGGATATTGAAGCTGGAAGATAATTTCAGTTACAGTGGAAAGAAGATGAGCTCTGAAGTCAGAAGATTTCATGTATTAGGATAATAGGGAATGAAGGTAAAAAGTGAAGGCAACGAATGTAAACTACTATGTAGCTTCTTGGTAAATGGAAAAAAAGAGGTGAGAGGTACTGGGAAAACTTAGTAAGGTGCCTACTGGATCCATTGTCTACTTTTATGAAATCTTAACGTACCCAGAACACCCAATATCCTTTCAAAGGAAGTCCCCAGCTATCAGTCACCTTACTTAGAGCCTTGTGGTCTCATCATCAGGTGGAGAAGACCCGAGATAGACAGCGGACAGGAATCAGCCATCACTAGGCTAACCAATGGCCCACGGGGTGACCTCACAGCAGACCCCCAACAGAGGCAGTGTGTTCGGACTGCTGGCTGGCCATTCTACTCACCCTCTGTGTCAAGGAGGTAGAACCCAAAGACACCAGAGATACTCAAGTAACACTGGAGCAGTAGAGGTAGGGACAGAAGGGGAAGATCACTTTGTCATCTGAAGTCACTTGGAGCAGAGAATGATGGCTATCTCCCCTGAAGAAACGAAATGACCAGAACCTTGGAAATGTTTCATTCTCCACAGAGTCTTGCTAGAGATGGCTGAGATCTTCCGCACTTTCTCTTGTATCCTTATGAAAAAATACAACAATTTGACAAATTATTTAAAAGAAGCCTTGCACAATTCTGTTTCTTGCTCAGAATGGGAGTGTATTTGGAGATAGTACATTTAAAGAGATGATTAGGTAAAATGAGATCATAAGGGTAGGGCCCCAATCCAATATGACAGGTGTCCTCAAAAGAAGAGAGGATTAGGGTGTGCCTGGGTGGCTCAGTTGGTTGAGTGTCCAACTCTTGATTTTGGCTCAGGTCATGATCTCGCAGTTCGTGAGTTCAAGCTCCACATCAGGCTCTGTGCTGACAGTGTAGAGCCTGCTTGGGATTCCCTCTCTCTCTCTCTTTCTCTCTCTCTGTCTCTCTCGCTGCCCCTCCCCTGCTCATACTCTCTGTCTCTCTCTCTCAAAAAAAATAAACATTTGAAAACAAAGAAGAAGAAGAAGAGATTGGGACAAAGACACATACAGAGGAAGGATGATGTAAGGACATCAGGAGATAGTTACCTACAAGCCAAGGAGAGAGGCCTCAGGAGAAACCAGACCTGCTGACACCCTGATCTTGGACTTCCAGCCTCCAGAGCTGTCAGAGTATAAGTCAGAGCTGTCTGTTGTTTAAGTCTGTGGTACTTTGCGTTGGCCCCTCTTGTGAACCATCCAGTGTAACCTTACCCCTGAAGAATCTGAGGTGTGGCATCACCCAGCTTGTATGGGTGTTAGGTCCAGGCTCTAGGGGGTACCCATTCTCAGCCCAGAGGTCTTCATACCTACCACACCCTGAATTTGACTTGCATGGGTTTCTAGAAAGGACAGAGAAGGATGATGGGAAGATCAAGGGCACAGAGTTGGAATCCAGTCCATCATCTGACAGGAAAGGATGACTTAATGGCTGCTTGTAAAATCCAACAATTCTTGGGCTACCTCAGTAGTGACTTTTTTATTATTTTCCATTTTTCCCCCATTCTTCCCTTGGTTTCTAACTGGGGGGAAATGATTGGTTGTAGACACTTCAAAGCGACTTCAGCGTGATTTTTACATACGGGACACCATGTTGGACCAGTAGGCCCAAATTTAACCAGGGAGACCTCTTCATTGGTGTTTACAGCTCTGATTTGTTGACTGTCTCCCAGAACCTCCTTTGATGAGAGAATCTGGGACAGCTGGGGGATTTGTGGTGGCAGAGTTTAAGTGATTTGTAATTACATTTTATTTTAGTTTTAGTTTCTGTTGTTTTTTTTCCGAGCGTGTGTACCTTTTAGGCCTTTTTTCTTTTTTTTTCTCGTAACATTACGGGCCTCTGAATGCCAAACTAATTTTCCCTCTCAATCCCCTGTAGGTTTCAAGTGACAAGCTTTTAAAAGCACAGCCCTTGTTAGTTTTAGAGCCTTAAGACTCATTGTCTTGTAGCCTTCCTGTCCCCCACCCCCCACTCTTATTGTCATCTCCCAGGGTGTTCTAAATCTCTGATTTCCCTCTCCGAGTGGTGTCTCCCATTTATTTTATTTAGAGATAATGCAGAGCTTTTGAATCTGAAGGAGGCTTGGCTAACTGAGCTTAGTAGGTTGGGAGGTTGGGCGATATCTCAGCATAATCCCAATGTCAAAAAAAAAAAAAAAAAAAAGGCTGAAATGCCCAGAGGCTATTTTTCAGAAACCCCATTGTTTTAGGCACAATTCTATCGGTGAAATTCAAGCTTCTGGACTTATTTCCACTGATTGGCATGATTGACACAGTGCCACGCATTGTGTGGTGAACCAGGTGGCTTTGTGGCCTAGACTGGCCGTCACAAACACCAGCAAATGTAGCAGGATTATGTAGCAGGATATGTAGCAGTCAAGTCTGGACAGACTGTGATTATTCGGCTGTGGATGCTGAAGGTCAGGGCGCGGGTGGCCTTGAAAACCGTGCTTTACGTTGCCTTCCAGCACGTAGAGAAGAAATGAAGCCAGGCCTCTTTCATGAGGACCAAGAACACAACAGGTAGTGCTTACTTAAAAACAGGATCCATGACAAAGCATTCTAATCAAGGCTTTCACGTTGGCACCGTAAAATAGTTTAACTGCCAAAAAAGATGCATTAGAGAGCAAAATACTGGTTTTAATTGGTGGGGTTTTTTTTTCTTTTCTTAAAAAAAGGGAAACTTTAGAGCACATTTTAATTTAAGTTCTGGCC